TTTAGCTGCTTAATAAGCAAGGGCATACGTGCATAATAGCATGTCCGAGACTTACGGAATTCAAGTCAACCTTAATAAAACTTTATTATTTTAAAGTTGAAAAGCTGTTAAAAGAGTTGCAAGTACTTAAAGTAAAAGCAAAAAAAGAAAAAGATAAAAGCGAAAGCGAAAAAAAGCTAGAATTACGAAATTCGCTTAAACCTTAATATTCGCTTAATTTAAAAAGCTCGTTAAAATTAACCTTTAACTCTTAACTTGTCAATTCTTAAAAATCAATAATACTAATAGTCTAGATACTTTATTAAAAGTACGATCTTAATATCTCGATTATGCTCGACGAAGAAGAAGATAATTCGAATGCTTTATTTATTAAAAATTCCGAAATATTCGTTATCGATAAAAAACGCCGAAACTATGAACTCTTAGCTAAGCTACGAGCCGAAAGAATTATTAAAAGCTTTAAAGCATTATTTTAAGAGTCTAAAGCAAAAGAATTAGCTAGATTAATAGCTTAAAGCATCTTTTAAATGATCTCGAGCATCGACTTACTTGTTAAAAGCGTTAAGATCTTCGGATCTAAGTTTATTAACGAAATCAAAAGCAAAAGAATATTTACGCTATATAAAAAGTCTCGTATAATAGTTTAAGCCTTTTAAGATAAAAGCAAAACGAAAGTATTTATCGAGTCTTTTACGATATAGCGAGCGGGCTAAAGACTTTATTATTCTTTAGCTCTTTCTTTAATAAAAGACTACGAGTGTTAAGTTTATAATAAAGATATTACGCAAGCTTATATTTAATTAAGCACGAAGCTTATACGAATAATCGTCGTGCGATTATTTAAAAAGATCATTTATCGATTCTTTTTCGGCATCTTGTTTTTTATAACTAGCCTTTTATACGGCATCTTCGAAGCAAAGACGCACTAGTATAAGCGTTTTTCCGAGCATTTTACGAGCAACTTCGGCATAAAGCAATCGAGCTTTAACTTTTACTTTTTTATATTAATTAATAAAAATTAATTAAGAATAGCTGCTTTACAAACGGACGATGTTCTTATAATTGTCAATCGAGCTATAAAAGCAAAAAAAGAGAAGGAGTTAATTAAATCTAAGCTAAAGAGCAAAGAAATAAAGACTCTTATATACGCCGAGCCGATGATTTTTAATAGATGCAAGCTATCTTTAAATAAAAACGAGTTCGAATTATTAATTAAGCAAAAAAAGCAAAGTGAAAAGCTTGCCGTGATCAAGCTCGATTTAATTATACGAGTTAAAGAGTACTTAAAGCAACGTGCTCGAAAAGCGTATTTAGCTATTATTTGCTACTTAAAAGCATTTTATGCTTTATCAATAGCTGCTTAATACTAAGAACCGAAAGACGAAAACTATAAGGCTTTTAATAAAGTAATCTAATAGCTGATCGATCACTTAATACAAAGGATCTATTACGTGCTCTTAGACTTAAAGACGGCGAAGCTTTTTATGTTCGTAGATAAAGCGTTTGCTAATAACGCTGACTTCAGCTTTTAAATCGGTTTCGTAGCTATACTTAGCAATAAAGCTTACGTAAATAAGAACGAGTTTATTTTAACGAGTAACATCTTTTATTAAGTGTTATAAAAGTGCAAAAGGATGACAAAAGCAATATTAGCTTTTAAGCTATACGCTATGTCTTTAAATATCAATATAATTATTATTATATCGACTACTTTTGCTTAAATCACAGCTTAGCTAAGAATCCTTAACTTCTTTATAATCGTATGTATTAACTTTTACTCGCTTTACGAATGCATAATAAAACTAAAGACTATTAAAAAAAAGCGCTTAATGATCGATATCATAGCTATTCGAGAGTCATACGAGAAGCGAAAGCTCTTTAAAATACGTTAAATCGGAAGCAAATCAAACCTTGCTAACGCTATAACTAAAATCGAAGCTAATACTTCTTTGCAAGAGTTAGTTTTGATTAATACTTTAAAAGTGCAAGTAGATAGATAAGTAAAAAGGCCGCTGTAAAAAAAAGAAAGAAGAGATTGTTTTTCTTTTGTTTGATTACCTTTGCTTGATTATCTTTTTTTTTTTTCGATCGATATAATAATTAGCAAAGCATTGCTTGTTAAAAAAAGAGTTGCCGGTGTCGGTATATCTATATCGACTTTAGCTAGCTAGTAGTAGTAGTTAAGGAAGCTCACTCGTAAACTATAGTTTACGAGCCACTTAATATGCTTCGCTTAGCATATCAGCAATCAAAGGACCCTTAACTTGATAAGTAAGCTTATTAGTTAGCTAATGCACGTAATTCCTTCTAATCTTATAAAAGGAATCAGCTCCTTTGAGTCTTAGGGAGCAGACAGAATTCAGATACCTTATCAACCGAGTGTTTTGCAATTGCAAGTACTTTGACGACCGTTACGACCTTACGAATATATATTCTTAATCGCTTGGAAGCAATCCAACAATAAGCCTTCTCGTGACCGTTGGAATCGTCTAAGTGTTTTAACGTCCAACTATTAAAGAATTCTAAAAAAGAATATTATTAAAGCCGTTCCCGGCGGAGTAAAGTAGTTATTAATAATATAACGATCTTAAGCGATTACTTAAAGGAACTCACGAAAGCGCGAGGGTCATATAAGAGCTCAAGAGAATCTTAAAGTAATAACTTAAAATCAACAACTATCGAGTGTAAAGGTCGAAGGTAGCTAAGGTCTATATACACGAAAGTAAGAGCGCTAAAGACTCGTGAACTATAGTTCATAGGTCAAAAGAAAGGAATAAGAGAATACGAAGAATACGAAGGAAAAAAGGAGGAAGGTAGCTATTAATAATATAAGGATGCGTCCAGGAGACCTGGCGTGTCGTCACAGCAAGAACTTAAGCTAAAGGCGGAGACCGAGTTGAACGTATTTTACGTAATTGCAAAAAGACGGGTCTTTATTAATTTCTTATAACTAATAAATTAATTTAAGCTAAAGAACAAGTCTTTATTAACCTTTTATAACTAGTAAATTGACTTAGGCTAAAAAACGGGTCTTTATCAATCTTTTGTAACTAATAAATTTAACTAATAATTTAATTAGTAAATCTGATTAGTAAATGTGATTAGTAAATCTAATTAATAAATGTAATTAGTAAATATGATTAGTAAATTTGATTAATAAATTTAATTAATAAATTTGATTAATAAATCTATCGATATATTTATATCGACTTCAGCTAGCTAATAATAGTAATTAGAAGAGCTTACTCGTAAACCATAGTTCACGGGCCACTTAGCATGCCTCGCTTAGTATGCTACCAGTCAAGGGACCTTAACTTAACAAGTAAACTTATTAGTTAGCTAATACACGTGATTCCTTTTAATCATATAAGAAGAATCAGCTCCTTTAAGTCTTAAAAAGCAACCAGAATTCAAATACCTTTCAAACCAAGTGTTTTGCAATTGCAAGTACTTTAACGACCTTACGAAGTTACGAATATATTCTTAATCGCTTAAAAGCAATCCAACAGCTTGTATAAGACACGTAACCGAGCCAAGCCCGCAAAGCCTCTTACTATCTCCGAATGGGTTCTGCTCTTGATATACAGCGGCTTCTGATAATACATAATAATCAGTGCGTTAATTATATAATGAGGTTTACCATCAATTCATACACAAGCTTTTTTTTTTTTTGTTTTCTTAAGGGCGGATAATTATGGATCGATTACGCTGCAACTCGATTAGCAATTCCTTGGTTCGAAACGCGCATCCTGATCCGAAATAGCTTTTGAAACAAAAAGAAATAACTTTTATTCAATGGTGGGACATGACGTCGCACACAACTTTTAATCTCTTTAATTCCGATCCTCGAGGATGTAATTAATTATTCGGCCTGTGACGCAATAAAAGATAATAAATAAAAAGCGACGAATATATTTCGCATTCTTTATATTATCGTAGATTATAATGATCGATAATGTAGCCGTTTAATATTTTTCAAGGCTGGCTGGAAGCTCTTCGGATAAAAAGAATGGATGGACACGGGAGTTGCAAAAAAGAGCTAGCGATTAATGAATTTCAAGAAATAGACAATTGCGTATATAGCGAACGTTTAACAAGTTTTTAAAAGGCAGGATAGCTTATCTGGCATCTATTATTCAGTATCTTTAAATTCTATCCAGCACTATTCCGACGTTTAGATTTCTTTTAAAGTCTTCATTTTTTTTTAATTAGCGATAGCGGTTATTAAGCTATCAAATTTCTAAAAAGAAAAAATTAAAATTGGAAATAGATCACGAGAACCGATTTCGCGTTTCAAAGTAAAAAAGAAAATAATTTTTATAGAAAATCACTAAGAAGATAATATCAAAGTTAAGATTTAGCGTTATTTAAATATAAAGATATAAAAAGTGAATTCAATTAAAATTATTTATAAAGATAATCTCGTAATCAAGCTTACGAAAAATTTCATTTAGATTTTTCAAAACTAAAATCTTTCCTTTTCTTGAAGAAGATCGACCTGCATTTAAGGAGTAGTTATATTTCTTATAGTTTTCGATTTTCATAAGCTAGCGCGTCTGATCTAGCGCGCCGTAATAATACGGTGACCGCAACGCGCCAATAGCGAGCCCCGCCGACCGTTTTGCGAAACTACAAACAACGACCTCTCTTCTCTCTTCAATACCCCCAGCAAGCACCTTACGCACCTTCGGCCTCCGCAGCACCGGCAGCAGAATCCCAGGAATTAGTTGCGCCAGGATTGATTTTTCTGCAATTCGATCTCGCCTCTTTCTCCAAAGCGCATACACGTCGTGCAGCCCGGTGGTGGCGCGTCGCGCAGAGCTGCTTTAAAAGGCCTACTTCTTAATCCGTGAGTTCTGTTTTACTTTGGGCCCCCCCGGTCCGCCATACGTACCAAACAGCGCGCCCGCTTTTTACGCACGTTTCGTTATTTCTATCAGCGGCGGTTACCTGAGGGTTTCGCTCTTGCCATATTGCAGATGCTTGAAGGCAGGTGCACGATGCAGGACTGGTGGTTTCTAGGGGTTTTATCCGTGTGGGTGGGGTGCTTTTTCGAGCCCGTTGCTAATTCGATCTGTTAAAGTCCAAGAAATACTTTGGCACGTGACGTTCTCCTTGCTCCAGGACAACATCCTGAACGCCTGGGCCTGAGCTGCCGCTTGGTTGGCCTGCGGATTCGATTCAGGTTCGTCACCGACGATTTGGATCTGGGGACGCTGCGTTGAGGTCTCGCTGTACCTGATAGCGCTGGGTTAGCTTGGTCGCTATTTGGGAGAGCCGCCAAGATGCCGCCGCCTGTAAATCAATATCAACAAGGTGCTGACGCGGGGAGATATCGATCGCCTATTGAGCCTGGTAGTTCATTGTCGAGCGGGTCGGGGAGTATGAGGCAGTCTTCTGATTACTCTTCTTCGGCTCAAGGAGGTCCAACTACGACGGATCATAGACCGTCTAGCGGCTCTTATCATTCTCACCCTGAAGCTCCCCGGCCATATGGATCGTCTGATTCCCTGATGACCGGTGCACGCTCCTCACCACGCACTCTTTCTCATCGGCCTAACGCCCCAGCTACAACTCAAAGCAAGCTTTCGACTTTCGGCTATGGACCTGAGAGATCTGATCAAAAATTCGCTCCAAATCAGGAATGTTCGTCAAGCAGATCCGACCACAAGCCAAACGCTTCATCATCTCAGAGCCATGCCAGTCCCTTGATGACCAATGGAGCCCCCCGATTACAAAGTCAGAGTGCCTTCGGTCCAAGCAGATTTGGCTACCTAAAGAAGAAACAAGCACCTTCTCAACCCCAACAGGGTAGCTTATCCAATAGCCCCGGAGACCTACGCAATGGCACCTTGCCAGCATCCAAAGCTCCATTTAGAGCGTCTGCGAACGTGGCTCACCCATTTCACTACCAACAAAGCCCCCTCCAATTCTCCGTCACTCCCGACCGACCACCTCAGGTTACACCCCGATCACAGCTGCAAGTCGTAATCGGCACGCAGAGCTCCGCCTCGTTCTACAAGAACAGTCCTCTCCCATCTTACTCGGCCCCAGCAAGACTACCCAGATCATCCCCCCTCGCCAACGCTCGGGAATCAAGCCAGACGCCAAAGAAGCGCGGTCGGCCTGCTCTCCACAAGACCCCTGTAGAGAAGACCCCCAAGAAGCGAGGTCGACCATTCGCATCTGGTGAAGCAGCTATTCAGATTGCCAAGAAGCAAGCCGAGAAAGCCGCTAGGAAAGCCGAACGCGAAGCGAGGAGAGTGGAGGCAAAGAATAAGGGACAGTCATGGAAGCTTGGGCAACAGCCAAACATCGAGCAGCCGGAGCCGATCTTCTATCCGTTCATCTGTGAGTGGGATGGTTGTGCTAGGGAGTTGCAGAATCTTGAGACGCTGAGGCTGCATGTCCACATTTTGCACGAGAAGAGGGTGGATGGCAAAGTGCAATGCTTATGGGCCAAGTGTGGTAGAAAAAAGAAAGTCGTGGCAGTCGTCACGAAGGAGCATGACGATGAGGACGCAGTAGACGAAGAGATTGCAGCCATGGCTATCACTGAAAACGAGATCGCGAACGAGACGCATATAGCGGAGAAGTCTAGGTCTACTTGCCCGGCGTTTGCCAGAAAGCAGGATTGGCTCGATCACCTGGAAGAGGAGCACTTTATCCCCTTTTCATGGCACATGGGTGACGGACCGAAGGCCACGGATTTATGTAAGTCTCCCCTACCCCGTTCGAAAACTCCCCCGATAAAAGGCATAAACTAACGATTTTTTTTTTTTTTAACAAAAGCTGCCAAACCCAAAGGCGTCGTCGACCCCCTCTGGCTCAACGATTCAAAAGGCAACCAAGTCACCCCCTCCGTCGCCGGCCAACCCCTCGAAGAGGGTCGCCCCGGCAAGAACAACGCCAAGCGCTTCCGCAAGATGCGAGGTGTCGAGGTGTGGGCCATCAAGCAGCCGAAGGAACTGAAAGGCATGGCCATGGCGCCGCCTATCCCCCCGTCGAGCGAGGATGACGACGACACCGGTGTCGAGGCCGAAGGCGAGGATACGGGCATGGACGATGTCGATCTGCTGCAGGTCGCGGAAAACAGGCGCGAGATTGCAGACAGCGATGATAGCGATGACAGCGAAAAGGGCGTGGCCGTGGATATGGACGGCGATGTGCAGATGGGATAGGGCGTGCGTCTGGTTGCGCTGTGAGCGCGGCCAAGGCCAAGGCTGGGGAAGGCATTGAAAACGTGCCAGCCTGAATTGCCTAGATGCTGACGCTAGACTTGGCTTCGTGGATGCGCTAGAGACTAAGGACTAGCACTAGACGATGTTCAATTCTGCACCGGGCGGCGAATTCCCTTTTCTTTTCTTTTTTAATCAATAATAGCATGTGCATAGCGTTTTGGGAGTTAGCATTTCTGGCGATGTTACATTAAGAGAAATTATAGCGGAGTATTAAGTGTATAAAATATATTTCAAGTAAAGCTTCGACGTTCTTTTTTAAGGGTTTATTTTTCATTTTTACGATATAGTATTTCTTTACGGTAGTTCGTAAGAATATAGTAGCTCGTAAGAATGTAAAATATTTTTCTATTATGTTTGCGTTGTTATATTTCAGCTTCAGCCTCAGGGTAGGTCGAAAGTAAAAGGTCAGAAAATCAACTTAAGAGACAAAATGTAAAACGAAGTATGGATAGGTGCTAAGTAATGAAAAGAATTATTCCAAGTTAAATTCATATATTTCTTTTCCTTGACTTTATAGATTTATATCTATTCAGGACTTCGGACAGCTACGCAAGGGATGTATCGATAAATCTTTATTCGCTTTTCTCGGTCTCGCATCCAAATCGCCTAAAACCAGATCCCATGATTCTTGTTCCGCTCCTTCGAACGCCAGGTACTGACTGCTCTTTTTGATAACCGCACCCAGATAGATATCTGACGCGCTTAACGATGACTTTTCTTACACTGCATTGAGCATAACGGTTGCTTATCATCGCCCTACTTACCCACATCGTCGATCTACGCTTCGTGCGACGAGGCGCCGATCAGTCCAAGTCAACACCATTCAAAGCTTCGCTCAAACTTTCGCCTTGCTCCGGTACTTCCGGCAGTACGCTATTGAGCTTCTCATTCAATTGTGCGCCCTTTGCTTTGGCTTCCTTGATATCAGAATCCAGCTCTTCGCCATCGCTTCGACTCCCCTCGCTCTCGGTCTCCGGTGGCGTCGCCTCTCCAGTCGCAATCAGGGTCCGCCTAATATGGCTCATATTCCTCTTCAGCATACACATCTCGATCGCAATACCCGGTCCAAAGGCGCACCCGACAACGAAGTCTTTTACCTTGCCTCCCGGCGCAAGCTCATCCATGTCTTTTTGCCGCAAGCGATCAAAGACCGAAATTACTGTTGCTGAAGACGAGTTGCCGTGCTTGATATACGTATCGTAGCTTGCGCGCATGTGTTCGGCAGAGATATTCATCGCGCGCTCGACCCCGGAGAGGATGGTGGCTCCGCCTGGATGCAAGGCCCAGTCGAAATCAGCGGCATTTCTGTAATTCGGGGGCAGGTTCGGTAGAGTCGCTAGGAGGTCGGTGAAGGTGGGTTCTACGACCGAGGCAGCAAGCTGAGGAACCCGGGGGGAGAGAACGACTTTCCAACCTGCAGTGACCGTCAGATTCGGTCAGAGGAGTGCGTCTGGAAACTCACCAAGTGGGTCGACGTCGAATCCCAGGTCTTGCTCCGTATCAGGTATCATCCTATGGTCCCACCCCAGCAGCTCGTACACGGGTTCGGCGTCCTCCCCACCGACCCCATTGCTCAGAATCAAGGAGCTCGCACAATCGCTGAACAGCGTTACGCCGATCCTCGTCTCTTGGAGCTCGTTTATACTATCCAGCTCGCTCCTCACCAACAGACTACTTATCTCCAGCGCAATAACCAGCACTTTAGCTTTCCTCCCGCGAAAGCTGTGTCCCAGAGCCAAGTTGGCCGCGGTTCTTAAACTCGCGAGACCCCCACTACATCCAATGCCGTGGAGCAATACTTTCTCTACTGGTTGTGTTATGCCCAGTCCCTTGCACACGTAGTGATCGAAGCCCGGATTGGCGCTGTTCGTACACGTTGTCGAGACCACATGTGTTATATCTGCAGGCGAAAGTTGCGCCTCGTGGAGAGCTTTTCGCGCGGCGGTTACCGCAAGTGCGACACCGTCTTTGAGGAAGATCTCGCAGAGCTCGTTGATTGTGGGAGCGCGGTCCATGTTCGCCATATGGTGGTCTACGGTCCCTATTGCCGAGCGCGTATCGATTCCCGTGTATCGGTTTATCATGCGGATTTTTGCCATGCTAGAGGGCTGTGTCAGTACGGCTTGAGCAGTGAAGTGGGGGTGGAGAGGCGCACGCTGGCGATTCTGGGTAGTGCCGTTTGCAGAGTTTGTCCAGACATTCTGGGTCGAGCAGGTAGGGAGGGTATTCTACGCCGATGCCTATGATAGAGAGGTTGAGCTCTCCAAACTGGTTGTGTGCGCCACCATTGTGGTGGTGGGTCTCTTGCGAGGCTGCCATGTTGCTGGGCGTTTATCGAGACTTGACTGAGGGCCGATTAAGGTGGTATATGAAGCTGTGTAGTGATTTTGGAGGGCGCAGAAGGAGATTGATTGATGACCAGCACTGCAGTGTACTGCACTGCACTGCACTGCACTGCACTGCAAATTCGTCGGTCTGGTGGTCTGATGCCAGCAGAAAGTCCCGACGAGCTGTCAGTCACTGTCAGGCAGCGAAGCCAGTCAATGACGGGCAACGTCAAGGCAGAGCAGAAGGGCGGGCAGGATTGAGCTCCTAGATCGCAATGTGGGTCGCCGGCCGTGGAGAAGAAAAGCCAATTCGGGAGCGCGAGCTCTGGTCACTGTGAAGCCGAGGATTGCGGCCGAGGATTGCGGCCGGTGGGTTCTTGCCCGCCAATAATCGAGAGGTCTATTACTAATTGTCAATATCTGTGTTGCTGGCGCTGTTGCTGTTGCTGTTGCTTCTCAACACAGTTGATGAATCCACTCCAGAACGCGCTGAGGGCCAGGGTCGCCAGCCCACCAGCCAGCCCACCAGCCCACCAGCCCACCAGCCGCCGGGGGACCTGACCCGCTCAGGGACCGACATGGGCCGACATGGACATGCATTGATTAGTACTACTAGATGGACTTTGACTTTGGGATTATTATGTCATCATGGAGATGTGTCGTCTGATAAGTACTCGGTAGGTACGTAGTAACTTTCCAATGTCATACTTACGTACCTAGTACTTCTATTTATATTTATGTTTACTGTACGTCTACGGACCGACAAGTAAATAAGCTTCGGAGACATGCGTCCTGGGCGTGGACCATACAGTACTACTTACTCCGTAGGATGCCAGGCTTCATTACAATGAGCCTCCTGGGACTGTGAGAGCTACCGGTACAACCTCTATGAGCCAAAGACCATGAATTCCAAGCAGATTCCCTGATTTGCGTCTTCTTGTTGTTGTGGTTACGAACTCTTGTTGTTTCGATCAAACACGTCGGCAGCTGGAGTCCACTCTGAATAACCAACCTCCTATTCGAAGCGAGAATCCCGCCCAAAAAAACCTCACCCTCTCATCAACCTCACTCACCCACGAGCACCCATCCTGAACAATGCCGCGTGCATTCCCCGCGCGCATCAACCTCCCCTTCCTGATCCACATCGCGCTCGAGACGCCCGCTGCCCTCAGTTTCTTCCTGCGTCCCGACAACCAGCTCTCGTCGCCGGCACCGCAAGCCCATGCCCTGATCCGGCAGTACGCCGCGCTACTGCTGTCGTCGAATCTGGTCGCAGCCGTCTTTACCTGCAGGGAGGTCGATGGGACGAGTAGGTGGGTGGCGGCAGCGTTGGCCGTCTACCACCTGGCCCCGTTGCTGAGGGCTCTGGCCCGGATCTCCGGCTCGGGGCGCCTGAGGGGGCAACGGGGGACGGCGAGGACGGTGAGGGAGACGGGCGCGAGAGGAGGGGGGAATGCTGGAAACGAGACGGGGCTCGGGGGACCTTGGGTGCATGCGTTGGCGCATGCTGGTGCGTTGGGAGCGTTGCTTTGGGAGTTTGGATTTGGGGGGCAGTGAATGGTCACCTGTGGGACTTGGATATCCTCATTGGTATAGAAAAAATGCACAAGGATTTGAGGCAATTCGAGTAGAGCTTGTCAAATGAAGTGCCAGTGGCTTCTCAACGTCCATGGGTATCGATTCTAGTCAAACGTGACCTTCTAGTCAAACGTGACCTTCTTTCCCTGGAACGTCGCCGTCTTCTTCTCTTCCTTCGCCTTTTTCGCAGCCTGCCAACTTGGATGCAGTACTCCCACATCGTCTCTCTTCTTCTCCACCTTCCTTGGTGCAACAGCGATGGCGTTCTCTCCCGTCACCTGCCTAAAGTCTCTCTGTTTTCCTCCTCTTCCTCCCCTTCTGCCACCTCGTCCTCCTCTCTCCCCTCCGCTGGCGCCCCTCTTAGGATCCCAGCCATCATCCTTGCTCCTCTTCCCCATCTCAGCAACGGGTGGTAGTCCTTTCTTGATGTGATTTGCCCCCTTCCCATGCTTCTTCTCAGCTAGAGCTCTTCTCGCCATCTGCCCCGGTCTATTCTTCTTCACCGGCGGAGGGGCATCGTCAAAATCAGATGCCGAAGACTCAGATCCAGACCAGTATCCTGAACTTAGACTCGGCAGAAATGTTGAGCCTTTGGGAGCACTTATAGGAACCTTTGACTGCGATGCTCTCTCGCGTTTGGTCTTGGGCCCGAAGGACTCCGAATTGATGATTTCACCGTCCGATTCAGAGGCGGAGTGGGACAAGGATAGAGAATGCCGTTGTCCAGGCTGGGCGGCTTTTCTCTCTGTCGCGAATTCTTCTTCGTTGAAGCTGTCCTCGTCTGAGGATCCACCGAGTTGTGCATCGTAGCGAGCCAGCATGTCATCATCATTAACGTCCTCATCCTCGTCGTCACTACCCGCGAGGTCTTCCTGAGGAAGCCTAACACCTTTCGCAGTCCGCTTCGCATGTTTCTGCTCCTCATCGGAGCCGGTATCGTCACTACCCGAAGTTTCCCTCCTAGAAACACCAAGACTCGGTTTCTTCAATATTCCTTTGATTTCCTCCTTCTTCCCGGGCATCTTCTTCCCAACCACGGCCGATTGTGGAATCCCCATAGCAATGTGCATGCCCGTAATCAGCTGCGGTATAACAGTCTTGACAGCAGGCATATTCAGCATCCCACTGACAACATTATTTGTCGCCGCGATCATCTCTTCCGACATATCAGGCTTCGGGGCCACCTTCCTGACCTCCTCCGGCAACAGCTCGCTCTCGGCTATCCTCTTGATCTTCAACAGCGTCTTGTGAAGATGGGCTTCAGTCGTCCGTTCCAGATCCATGCTCCTTAAAGCCTCGATTTCCCGATTGATCCGCGCGACATCATCGCTTTTGCTCTCGGCCGTCGCATTCTTCAGCCGCTTCCCGAGCTTCTGGCGCTCGAAGTTTTTGGCCAATTTCAGGGCGCGGTGCAGCAGTTTCTTGCTTTGAATGAGTTGGTCCTGTATATCCTGGGTGCGCATAGACCGGACTCTATCGCCTCTATCGCCGGTGCCTTCATAGCCCGGCCGTTTCCGTTTCGGCATTTTGTGAAGTCAGTTGTGGGGAAGAGATTTTGGACAATGAGGATACCGGTAGTTCAGCCTTGCTCCTGGATATTTTTAAGGCTAGCGGCCGCTGAAATTTAGCGCCTTGGCAGGGAAGTCGATGGGAACTTCATCAATTTGTCATCGTTTTGCTGCCCCCAGATCTTGAATCCAGTTTTCGTCAATGGTCAAGATAGTAAATAGTAAGTCAAGCATGATTTGAGTTTCATGTTGCTCATTCTCATTTAAATTCTCTTTTGCAGAGCTATTGCGAATCCTAGACCAAGATGGCTACCACTTCGATCCAAGCTCCCAACCTCTTCAATGTCGAGGGATTAGTAGCAGTTATTACCGGAGGAGGGTCTGGCAAGTCTGGCACTTCTACTCAAAGAATACATTTTAATGTTCTAAAGGCATTGGTCTCATGATGGCAAGAGCCCTGGCCCTCAATGGCGCACATAAGGTCTATATCATCGGCAGACGGAAAGAGATCCTCGAAGCCGCTGCGAGATCCGTCCCAACAAACAACATCGTTCCTCTGGTCGGTGATGTGACATCCAAGGAGACGCTCGCATCTCTCGTTGGTACTATCATGTCAGAAGTGGGATACATAAACGTCTTGATCGCAAATTCCGGCATCCTCGGCCCTCAGAAGTCCATCCCTATCACTGCAGGATCCAGCATTGCTGATTTTCAGAAGGCATATGGAGACACTAGCTTTGGGGAATATGCAGCTACATTCGAATTGAATACCGTTGCCGTATGGTTTACGATCGTGGCCTTTTTAGGACTGCTGGACGAGGGAAATAAGAAAGGCAATGTGGAGCAAAAGAGCCAGGTCATCGCGACAAGTAGCATCGGAGGCTTTAACAGGAATGTTCCTGGTGGCTTTGCCTACGGACAATCAAAGGCCGCCACGACACATCTAATGAAGCAGCTAGCGAGTCAATTGGCCCCTTTTGGAATAAGATCCAATGTTTTGGCGCCAGGATGTGAGTTAGCGTTCCTTTACTATCGCTTGTTGTGTTTGCTTGCCTGCATTGATATATTCCTTCCAACTCGATCGCAGCTTAACCTTTGCACCTCTTCTGCGCTTTAAGCACGGCGAGTCTAACTTGACAAAGTGTTCCCTTCTGAGCTAGCAGCCGGCATCATCGGCGACGGTGTTTTTCCAAGATCCGTGATTCCATTGGAGAGAATTGGGACAGAGGAGGATATGGCCGGTGTAATCCTTTTCCTCACGAGTAGAGCTGGAGCCTACCTGACTGGTACTGTGCTTCTCGTTGATGGTGGGAGATTGAGCTTGATGCCTGCTACGTACTAAAGCGTGGCTGAAAGAGCCGAGCACTCAGGTGTTAGATTGCGAGGCCAACAGACCTCGGGCTATATATCTGTGAAGACTCAGCATGGCTCGAAGCAAAAATCACAATACGGAAACTGTTGGAAAAGCAGTGGACTCGTGCTCTGTCTGCTATTTGATGTTATTACGCTCATGTTCCAAGCTTCCTTTGTGTAAATGGTTCGGTCTTTTGAGTTTGCGATCCACGCTTACTACATTATAGTTGATTGACCCAGTATGCCCTTTTAGCATCCGGTAGTAGTACTATTTGTGCAAGCCGGGTGGAAGTATCCAGCCCGGCCACTAGCGAACCGAAATTCGAGTCCAAGGAACCACGCAGAAACTTTCCTGCGCAACATTAGTATACGTAATTATTGCAAGCGACTATGGTTACTGTTTACCCGCAACCAAAATTACGCGAGTCTTGGGGGGCACTTTGGCTGGACGCTAGACAGAGACTACTTTACCCCTATCTTCATACCAGTGTCTATTATAACGCGAAAACCTCAAATCTGGAGAGCTGAGAAACCTGATGACTCTGAGTCGCTTTATCGGATAGAATCCCGCAGCGCCTGGCTCTAGTCCCATCCTGGCATACAAGACAAGAAATATACCAAGCACTCAGGAACGGCCCAGCTGAACGAGTGGTCTCAAAGGTGAGAAGGTCGATATATTACCTTAAAAGCAGGTAAGGGGTTATTTAAACCGTCAGCTGATAATCCGATGACGGTCTCTTTAAAAGACGGTTTCAAGAGCTTAGTATAGTTAGTGGATCACCCTAGGCCGATACTTAAGATTGAATAGAATCTGAAAACAAAAGATTTGAATTATTCAAATCGTAGCTAAAATGGAACAGTTTTAATCGATTGAACCGTCTTCTACAAATGCTCGTCTTTTCGTATAAAAACCGTCTTAAGACCGTTTTCGAGCATTTTAAGACCATTTTAAGACCGTCCTATAGCCGTCATAAGGCCGTCCCCGAACTTAGAACCGTCCCGGAGAACTTGGACTAGTAAGCAAATAATAAAATATTTCTATTGTACTACCGGTACCTACCGGCCCGCTACCATCTTTCGCAATCAAGGAAGGGGCGGGGTGCTAGGTGAACTTTTACTAAATCGATCGATTTCGATTATAAAAAATTTAAAGCGTTGATACGTAAGCCGTAGCAGCGATACCGAGAAATATCTTAGCATCGAGTTTATTAAATTATCATTCAAACGATTCTATATGAAAAAAAGTTTTTGTTTACAATTGTATATTCAGTAAAATAGCTATCTAATTATTTTAAATTTTTAAAATGAGCTTATTGATAAGCTTGTTTTGAAAATCTAAACGGGGACGGCCATGGGACGGTCTCAAGCTCGGGGACGATTAAAAAACTGAACTATTCTTGATTAGTAACTAGTACTGATTTTAAACGGCCTAATTACCGTTTTTTATAAGAGGAGCTCAGAGGATCGCTCAAATGACCCTCTACCTGCCTTTAAGGTATCTAGAAGGTAGAAGCTATAGAAGAAGGAGGTGACTCCTCAACTATATGGTCTGTGCTTTAGGCCCTTTACGTGACTTAAGCTCCTGTAATGAATTGGCTTGATGCCATCAGGCCTCCTAGGCACCCGTGCGCGCTAAGGGGATACATACTACTATATTTCTCCTACCAAGGAGAACTTTAAAAATATTATTCTCTTTACTCTCCCTCCCCATAAATACGTAGTAAATGTCGGACCCAGTTTAGGCCCATAAATCATAGAGCGGTGGTTTCTGAATGGCTCAAAGCCCTGTCAACTCCGCTGTATAAACTAAATACTAGCTCAAAAATACTTTTCAAAGCTGAGTCCTTATATTACGTCAGTTGATTGGTTTAAGCCCTGGTAAGATCCCTTGCGAAATTATACTTTCGAAGATTTATTTATGGCGGGGGAAGAGTATACAAAGCGTTCCTGCCTCTACATAGAGGCTCAACGAAATCGAAGCACCACTTTGCTGCGGTTTGGAACAATTTAGCTACGCAAAGATCGATATCTAAGTAAAACAAGCCTTTCTGCTAATTCGTCATTATCTATTTCTTTTAAAAGAGGAAAAGAAAGGAGCAGTGGTACTCAGAGTGGGCTCGAGGATAGAGTAGTTGCTTAATTATTTAATTGTTTACTTGATTAAAAGCTATTTGAATAGCGCCGGCGAGGTTGATATACGAATATAACCGCGATTTAAAATTCTATTGACTTTTAAATTTTTTCTTGAAGTAGATCTATTATTGATGATTAATATTATATTTTATAATTTATTTTTTAATTGAAAATTGTAACAAATATTGTGGTGGAGCTGGCGGTCTGTACTTGTTTTGTCTATGTATTTAATACTATCATCAGATACCCTTGGCACGTGGATGAATCACGTATAAAACAGTATATAAACGAGTGGTTGGTTCCTCCTTGGGCTATTATTAATAATATACATATATACATACAGAACACATTCGAATGTTATTCGAACGTCCTCCTTTTACCCTCCTTTTTACCTACGATTCTACTATATTTAAATTCCTGTATATCTCTTGATGCGCAGTCAGGTATATGCTGGAGCTCTTTCCCTCCACATATATTTGGTGACCTACGCAAGGATCGAACCTGCAATCTCTTGATTCGCAGTCAAGTATATGCTGGAGTTCTTTCCTTCCACAATGTATGTTTTCTAAAAAAGTCACGAAAAAGTTGATCGAATTACTGAAAAATTGTGACGACCTTAAGCGACTACCTGAGGAACTCACGGGAGCGCGGGGGACCACATGGAGCTCAGGAAGATCTCAAAGTAATAACTTAGAATCGACAATTACTGAGCGTAGAGGTTGGAGGAAGCTGAGGTTTATATATACGAAGGTAGGAAGCGCCAAGGACTCGTGAACCATGGTTCACGGGTGAAAAGAGGGGAACGAGAGAAGTGAGAGAATATGAGAAGGAAAAGAAGGAACTAGCTTGGCGCACGTGTGAATAGTGCCCAGGAGACCTGGCGTGTTGTCACAAAAATGACCGTATTACTGCAGAGTACTAGGAACCGCATTCCTGCCTCTGACTTGTACTCCGATCAGGGGTACGATTACGTATTAATATATAAAGCAGTCGGTATAGCGGCTTAGCCGGCCTGCTCTATGAGGTGTATCGTGCGGTATAGTATAAGATAATAATACTGGAAATTGCAATGTGCATTACAGGTCTGCCTTTGCCCAATATCTAATCAATTATTTTTGATTATGTTTTGGCTAAAAAGAATTTTATTTATATAACGCATTAGATAGATTACTTTTACAGAGCGAGAGACCGTAACGAAGAAGTAAGTGCTTCGAAACACATATGAGGCCGGCCCGAACGTTCATCGAGACCGAGCCGAAAAGCAAAAACCTTTACATTCCATTTAGCCAGCGTCATCGTAATCTCCTGACTAGTAGCTCAATGAATGAGGAACCGACAGTCTTCGGTATTAAGATATACGAGAGTAAAAACGAATCCACTTTAACTAATAGCAATTTATATTAAGTGTCGCAAAAGTGCAAGAGAGTAGTTAAAACTGTATTAGCCTTAGAGCTATACGCTATATCCTCAAGTATTAACATAGCTATTGTTATGTTTATTACCTTCGCTTGAATTGAAAAGCAGCTAAGAATACTAAATTTCTTCGTAGCAATATGCATTGACTTTTACTTTCTACTACGTATATAAGTGTATAGTAAAGCTAAGGACTATTTAAGAGAAACGCCTTATAATCGACATTATAGCTATTCGGGAAACATACTGTACGAGAGGCGTAAGCTTTCCGAGGTACGTTAGATTAAAGGCGAATTTAATCCGCCGACGTAATGATTCGAGTTGGCGCTAAAGCTTCCTTATAAGAGCTCGTTTCGGCTAATAGCTCGAAGGTTCAGGTGATTGGATGGATTGAGAGGCCTTTGTAATATAAAAGAAAAGTGTTTCTTTTTGTTTCGTTTATACAGCACCTACCTTTTTAATCGATATGGTGTTTGGCAATGGCTATTGTTAAAGAGAGAGTTGCCGGTGTTGGTATATCAATATCGATCCGACGTAGTTAAAGGAAACAGCAGGTTCGGCTATCTCGGATGCGGATGAGCATGCCTCGCTTAGCGTGGCATACCCTTAAGGACCCTTAACTTCCTTGTAAATACTATTATATAGCTAGTGCACGTAAGTCCTTCTAATCGTATAGAAGGAATCAATTCCCTTGAACTATGGAGAGCAGACAGAATCCAGATATCATTTTTATCGCTAGTTTTGCAATTGCAAGAAGTCACGTGTGCTGTACGATAGGAATGAACGATCGTTACCGGCGATCCAATATACTACGTAAAGCGCTTGCACGGTCTCCTCGGTGCTATTGTATCCGATAGAGGCTCCTTATTTGCTTCCGAACTCTGGAGAGCCGTTTTCTATAAATTAAGCATGAAACTCAACCTCTTTACAACTTTTCACTTCGAAACAAGTAGTTAAACGAATGTTTTTAATGCTTAATTCGAACACTTTATCAAACAGTACATCGATTACACTTAGAACGATTAGGCCTCATGGCTATCAATAGCTGAATTTTTAGCTAACAACGTGATGAACGCTTCTATACAAATGTCCCTTCTCTTCGCTAACATAAGCTACTATCCCGGTGGCAGCTTCGGCCCCCTTCGTCCCTTCAAATCTGCCGCCATACTTGTAATCAAGGCAGACAACAAAGCAAGCACGGCCTTCGTAGATACCACTCCCCACCCACCCCATTCCCCTCCCCCCCCTACCCACGAATTGCTACAGCCTGAGTGTGCCTCAAAAGTTAAATTTCCACTTTAAACCTCCTGGTTACCCTACCCGCAAGGGTGTAACAATTACGCCTGCGACGTAGTACGGTACTAAACAGGGGTTTTTATCAGGGGAAGTAGGATATTCGAAAGGGTCGAGGTAAATCAGAGAAGCGTCCTATTGGATCGGGAATATAACAAAAGCGCATCGAACAGGTTTAAGTTTTAATAGATAGGTATTGTAACGCTGCTTTTTCTTATTTTCCTTTCAGGAAGCATGGAATTCGGTCGAGAAAGATACTACGTAGGATTGTTGCTTTAATTAAAATTATAAGATAGCGTTATTTAGACGTAATCGCGGCGGAGGGGTGTTACACAGCTTGGTAAAAATAAAAAATAAAACTTGCAAAAACAGCGAGAACCTCCCCTCAAGGGTGTAACAATTACGCCTGTACCGTGGTAAAATGAAACAAACCCTTGCCATTTTTAAAACAAACTTTATTTCGGCTTAAGCGAACTGATAATTCGCAGCTAATAAAATAAAATCTCTAGCCCTTGCCTACTATATCAGAAACGGAGTCTTCTTTGACTCTCGTAATATTAAGACCGATAAAGTTATTAAAAGTTCTATCATAAGTTCTTCGGTCGTTATATAGTAAAATAAAAGAGGCGACCTGAATAATAACTTTCATACTAACCTTCTTCGGCTCGCCTTTACCGACCTCTTCTTAGGTCAGTAAAACCCCTTTCCTCTCCCCGTAGCTATAGATGCTAGTAGCGAAAAACTATGGGCGGTAGTAGCTATTTTCAATTGTAAGAGAATCAAGGCCAAAGGCTTCTAATACCTGATTCTTTAGAGAGGATACAACCTCGAGGATGAAGTCCTAGGAACCTCTTCCATGCGTAACTAACGCACGGTCCTTTATTTTAGAGATCGAGAAACGTTTTCCTACTATTCCCCCCATGAATACATGTCGGACCCAAATTAGGCCCATAAATCTTAGAGCGGTGGTTTCTGAATAGCTTACAGCCCTACTGTATCAAATCTATTACACAGACTAAATACTGACCTAAAGATACTTTTTAAGGCTGGAGTCTTATAACTTGATTGGTCTAAGCCCTGGTAAGATCCCTTGCAAAATTATACTTTCGACATGTATTCATGGTGGGGGGGAGAGTATCAAATCGAAACCTACTACTGTGAAGCAAAGCTTACTGCAGCTAAGAACAACGCTTAACTGTTTGGCTTTTCTCAAAGGAGTAAGGAAAAAAGAAGGAAATACGTAAAGGGGACCGACCATATGTAAGGGGAGGAAACAAACAATTCTGTTAAGCCAAAGCTAAAGCACGCATGGATCCCTACTATAGACGCATCTCCTCCTGTGCCTTAATTTCTCTTTATCCCTCGTACACAATTTAGACCTTCATCGAAGACCTCGTTCTCGTACCGTGGCACGAGGCTTAAGCGAGCGAGGGACGATATATAAGATAAGTAAAGACGCCGTAGACAAACATTATTCAGTATTCTAGACAACGATCTCTTCTTTTCAACATGATTTCATCTACTTTCGCTCTCGCTTCCCTTTTCGTCGCTGCGAACGCGCAGCAGGCTGGAACAAACAAGCCCGAGACCCATCCACCTCTCGAAGTGTCGACTTGTACGGCCTCCGGATGCACCACTTCAGCTCAGTCCATCGTCGTCGATGCCAACGTACGTAGATGGGCAAATGTTCCCCGATTCCAGAATTTCTTCTTATCCTCCTCTCCCGTGCGGCACCTTCTATTTCAGATGATGACTGACCCCCGTGTTTTTCAGTGGAGATGGTTGCATAGTACCACCGGATACACCAACTGCTACACTGGCAACACCTGGGATGCTACACTTTGCCCTGACGGAGCCACATGTGCCACAAATTGTGCCTTGGAAGGAGCAGAATGTGAGCCATTGTTCCTTTTCTTCCTGTCACCGATGATTTTTCTCGGCAGAGGTCTTGCCGTCCTCTCCGAATCGTCTCCATATAGTAGCATCTTGCTGACTGATCTGATGCTCAGACGCGAGCACTTACGGCATCACGACAAGCGGAAATTCTCTGAAGCTCAGCTTCGTCACCAAGTCCGCTCAAACGAACGTCGGTTCGAGGACCTACTTGATGGCCCCAGGAAGCGAAACCAAGTACCAGATGTTCAAGCTCCTCAACAAGGAGTTCACGTTCGACGTGGACGTTTCGAAAATGCCTTGTGGCGTCAATGGAGCCCTCTACTTCTCCGAGATGGATGAGGATGGTGGGATGGCTCGACACCCTACCAACAAGGCCGGCGCGAAGTATGGAACTGGGTACGTTCTTTCCTAATTTGGCATTGATGTGATAGCTGGAGAGAAGGACTGGATCACCTTCGGCCTCTGCTCGCTTTTGGAACCTGCTTGAAGACGTATATACTGATGTTTTGTTCGCAGTTATTGTGATGCTCAGTGTGCGCGAGATGTCAAATTCATCAACGGCGAAGTAAGCTGGCAATGAGGTGGAAATTGTTCAGGGATAATCTAACTAACATGCCCTGTTCAGGCCAACTCTGAGGAATGGAAGCCCTCTGCCACTGATGTCAATGCCGGTACCGGAAAGTATGGAAGTTGCTGTGTAAGAGACCGTTTTCCTTCCTTTTCCACCCATTCTGGTCCCGGGACACTATCAAACTCCTTTCAGAACCATCTATTTTTTGCAATTACTGACTCCCGGCAGAATGAAATGGACATTTGGGAAGCCAACTCTGTATCTACAGCCTACACTCCGTATGTCCTTGTGCCACGCATCCCCATCAGCTTTTATTGACAGGCTCAATAGTCATCCTTGTAACGATCCTGGGCAAACTCGTTGCACCGGAACCGATTGTGGGGTCGGGGCGCGATACTCGTCGGTGTGCGATGCTGATGGATGCGACTTCAATGTAAGTGCACAGTTGCCACCCACCAGCTCCCTTACAACTCTCAAGATTGAGGCTTCAGAGACATGTCTCGCGGAGGAGAGAGAGTGCTTGTTTGACATTCAACGCTGACGATCACAAACTAGCCTTACCGCATGGGCGTCACTGATTTCTATGGAGAGGGGAAGAAGATCGATACCTCCGCCAAGATGACCGTTGTCACCCAGTTCATTACCGACGACAATACGGACACGGGAACTCTTGTCGATATCAGGCGATTCTACGTCCAAAACGGCGTCACGTTTGCCAACCCGAACTCAACCGTCGCCGGAGTGACTGAAAACTCCCTCGTACGTGAAGATTTCCCTCTCTCTCTCTCTTTCCGAAAGAAAAAATATATATATATTTCTGTTCCGCGCATTTCATCAAATCATCCCCATCCACTGACCTGATAAAACCAAACAGACCGACTCCTTCTGCGAAGCCCAGAAGACCGCTTTCGGCGACAACAACATATTCAAGGAGAAGGGAGGCCTCGCCGCCATGGGTGAATCGCTGGGGAGAGGCGTCGTGCTGGTGATGTCCATCTGGGACGACCGTAAGTCCACACCCTGCTCTACTGCCTTTACTACAGCTCCACATCTATCCATCAATGGGGTGCCACCAGATTCATTCCCACCAGCGCAAAATTCACTGACTCTTGTGCGCTTCACGCTCTAGATGCCGCCAACATGCTGTGGCTGGACTCTTCCTACCCGCCCACCAAAGACCCTTCCGCCCCTGGCGTGACTCGAGGCACCTGCGCACCCACGTCCGGTGTTCCCAAGGACGTGGAGGCCAGCTCTCCCGACTCTTCCGTCACTTTCTCGAACATCAAATGGGGTCCCATCGGCTCGACCTTCAAGGCGCTGTAGATGGATGGATGCCCGTCTCTCCCGCGGCAAAGCATGGCGCGTCACAATCTCGATACGTAAACGCTGGGAACGTCGGAATCGATAAAGATCTGTATATATATATATCAGATAGCTACCTTGTAGGTAGGCAGCTGAATGGCCCGGGGGGCTGCTGCTGCTTATTTTCTCTGTACCAAGTTTCGTTAGTCGGTTCTTTCATATCAGGATATGAAAAGAATAAGTGGGTGTGTAGGGTGATGTTGATGATGATGGCTGTAGGGAAATAGCAGCAGCGACTCAACGAAAAATACAAAAACACATCCTTTTTGACATTGAACAATAGGCATTCTGTTGAGATTCTATTCCCCGTCTTGCAATAACCTCTCGCTTTTTATACCTGCTTCCTCGTGAGCTAGGCTAACAACGATTTGATTTGATATCGCTCACGTCGGCCAAACTCCTACCGATCGATAAATAGATCATGTCCTGAAGACGCTTCACGAACCGGACCATCTATTGATCAGCCTTGCGCAATATATAAGAAGCCGCTCTGACAATAGTCATTATTAGTCAATCGATCGATATTGGTTTGAGTCGCGGATAGGTTACACCTAGGACAGAATTCTCCACGACGTGTGGAAAGAACGATGACGATGATTGTTTACTAAGCCTCACTCGTAACGCAACCAGTCAAAACCCTCTCCCGCTCCCGCTCCCGCTCTCTGGAGCTGGAGCTGGAGCTGCAGCTGCAGCTGCAGCTGCAGCTGGAAACTGGGGTTTCATCCGATAAGCCACATACATCGTAAAGGCTTCAGACTCAGCAAATCAATCGTCTGGAAAATCCCCCGCCAACGCCAACCGAGGCTGGGAATTCAATGGGCGGACCATAAGCGGCCGTCTGGGATAGGGATAGGATTGGTAAAAGAACAGTCCGGTTTCCTGCTTTCAAATACCGGTAGAAGTAGATAGAGAGATGTGTAGATCGATAGATAGATACCCTTCAGCTTCAATTCTCCTATTAGATCAGCCCTGCTGCGCCGCCGCGTCGGAATTCTCAACGTCTTGCGCTAGCTAGAAAATCTTCCGCTGCTGCACTCCTTTCCATTTCGTCGACCTTTGTTCTTTGCTGGTAAACCGCCCGTATTTTCTTCATCATGGAGTATCACGTCCGCGCGATCCTTGTTGCCCTCTCGCTCGTCTTCCTCGCAAGAAGAATCATCACCAAGATCCGCGTCGCGCGCTTCGAGAAATTAAACGGCTGCAAGCCAGCAAGGCAGATCCCCCAGTTCGAGCGCATCCTCGGCTATGGGCTGTACAGAATTCAAGCCCGGGCCTCTGAGACGAGGACGATCTTGGCCGTGAGCAAGAAGCGGTTTGCGGATCATGGTCACACGTGGAAGGCGACCATGATGGGACGGGTACGTGAGCCCGTGGGATGTCTCTCCAACGCACAGCTAATGGCGGAAAGTCGTTCTACAATACCATCGATCCGGAGAATGTGAAGGCGGTGCTGGCCACAAATTTCAAAGACTTTGGTATAGGGCAGAGGCAGGAATCCTTCGGGCCCTTGCTCGGTCAGGGCATTTTTACGACAGGTTGGTTGTCCCGAAGCTGTTATGGGACGTGGGCGATATACTAACCGCGTGCAGACGGTGCTCAGTGGGAGCACTCGCGGGTGAGCTGTTCGAACCAGAACTTCAATACTGGGCGCTTACTTTCGGCTCCAGGCTCTCGTCAGACCAAACTTTACTCGTGCTCAAGTTGCTGACCTGAATACTTTCGAGACTCACATTCAACAATTCATCTCCAGGATCCCCAGAGATGGCTCGACCGTCGATTTGCAACCGCTTTTTTTCCAACTCACCCTAGTAAGTCAATGGGGACCAGGAGGCCTTTCCCTTCTTATCCAGTCTCAAAATCTGATCCTGAGACCTTGCTGTTGCTTCCCGATGCTCCCGTTACCCTACAGAGCTCATACTGACTCCCCACCAGGACAGCGCAACAGAGTTCCTCTTTGGTGAGTCTGTTGGCTCGTTGTCTTCCAGCAAAGACTCCGAACAGGAACGATTCGGGCGGTACTTTGACCTCGCTCAAAGCCGACTGGGCAATCGGAGCAGGCTTGGGAAACTAGTCAACCTCTACCGTGACAGTGAATTCAATGAGGCATGCAAATTCGTGCACCAATTTGTCGACAAGATCATCTTCCGTGCTTTGGAGGAGAAAACCCCACGCGATCCAGAGATGTTCATTGACGGCAAATCCGAGCGCTATGTCTTTCTTACAGAAATGCTCAAGTCAACCCGAGACCCGAAGCAGCTGCGCGATGAACTCCTCAATATCCTTCTTGCCGGACGAGACACCACAGCGAGCTTGCTGAGCAACACATTCCACGTGCTTGCGAGGCGGCCCGACATTTGGAAGAGACTGAAGGCGGAGGTGGATGAGCTGGGTGGTATAAAGCCCGAGTATGCGACGTTAAGGAATATGAAGTATCTAAAAAATCTTCTAAATGAGTGTAAGACCTTACTTTCCTCCTTCTCGGTCAATGACTTACTGACAGCACTCAGCCCTCCGTCTTTATCCCGTTGTCCCTGGCAACGCACGCTTTGCCAACAACGACACAACTCTTCCGCACGGCGGCGGACCGGACGGCTCCTCCCCCATATATATCCCAAAGGGCGCAGTTGTAGCTTACTCGGTGTACTCTATGCATCGCCGGAAGGATGTTTTTGGACCCGACGCGGAAGAGTTCAACCCTGATCGCTGGGACGAAGGATTGCGACCAGGATGGGCTTACCTGCCTTTCAATGGTGGGCCAAGAATCTGCGTGGGGCAAATTTTTGCCCTGACGGAAGCTTCATACACCATTGTTAGGTTGCTCCAGGAGTTTGGTCAGATCGAAGATAGGGACGGGACGGAATGGGAGGAAGCTCTGAGCCTGGTAAGTGAATTCCAATTCAGACCCCCAACATGCTCGGATATATCTCAAGACCGCCTTTCGCTAATCTCCTATGACATGCCAGACGCTCGCGAGTGCTAAAGGAGTCGCAGTTGCGTTGAGAAGTGTAACTTGATATTTTGAGCTGCGTGCAAGCTGGCTAGTACGAGAGTGATGGTAGATAGTGATGATGTAGCCCACCAGAAGAGCAAATCCACCGCCAGCGGGTGTGCTCGAGTAAGCCATGGGCTGTATAATATTAGAAGACAAACGCTGCCCAGCACAATCCAGTCCAGGCCAGGCCAGTCCAGTCATAGAGGAAAGCCATCTGTACCCGCCGAGAAATGAGATGAAACAATTCGCACGTCCCTTCTGATCCCGCGCCGGCTCCAGTTGATAGCAGCCGTTATATTATTCCGTAGACTAAGTCTAGATCTCTGTGCTACGCGAGGACAGGTCGGATCGCGCATTATTCGTAGCAGCGGAGATCTAGATCGTCGATGAGCAATATTGCGACGTGCAACAGAAAGATGGATAGATGGCCTGCGAACGTGGAACCTCTGGATGAGGTCGATTATGAAAGGAAGATCTGAGGCTGTGCTATGCTGTGCGATGCTGTGCGATGCTGAGCTAGCCGTGGCGCTGAGATCTCTCTCGTGGATTGGCTGCCGCGCGGTACGGTGCAACCGATATACGTATGTAAATTTTGGGAGGAGTCTGAACGTATAGCAACTTGAATTGATCAGGGAGGTCGTAGCAAAGACTTCAGTTCTCTCGTCTGTGTGATGAAGAAGATGGAGTGTGCATGCATGAAATCCAATCCAATCCACCTAGCTTTACCGATCGAGGCTGGCTGGGCAGAGAAGATGGTCTTGATGACCGTTTTCTGTTGTCCTCATTCAGAAATCAGCACTCCGCATCGTATTGCTAGTTTACTACAGTTAAAACTTCTACTGGATAGCATCATCAACTACTTTGCAAGCACCACTTGAGGGGCTCCCGGGATGAGCGGGCTCGGTAACATTTGCAAACGTCATTGCAGGCTTCAAAAAGCTGCCCCGTTCAATACGTCGCACGTCGTGCTGAAGGACTGGAAGCGACGAGAGGACCATCCTGACTACTTCAAACTTCAAACCCCAGATAGTGTACTCGTGTTTGCGTGTGAGTGAGTGTGCGTAGCTCCTCAGGCTTGTCAAGTGAGAAATTAGAATATTGAAAAAAGAGGCCGATCTAGCGATCCCGGATCCGGTGGGCGATAGTTTACCTTCCACAGCCAATACGGACCGAGATGGCAGGGATATTTCAACGATCGGAGAATCAACGATTGGGCTACAAGGGGTATAGGAATAAAGGTGTGAGCTGAAGACGTTTCGCTGGCCTTGCCCGGGCACATACATATATTTACGATTCCTGTCTTGTTGACTCTCGCTTGCGAGAACTTCGGCCTTTTCCTTCCACCTACCTACCCAGACCACCTTGGAGCGTTGCGTCAGAAGCCAACAGCGATGGGATTGATTAGTACGGTAGATGACAACCAACTCGAGACTAGGGGCATGATCCCCTCCGTAGATTGTACAAAATAAACACACATCGAATTCAGACGCTCGATCGAAGCTTATACACAGAAAGGTATCATTGACAGAACAATCACAGTCGCTCTTTCCCTCTTTTTACATGAAGAAAGAAGATCCATCTCATCCGAACGAGTGTATGCTCTTCTAGAATCGAGAACCGGTCATCAAAACACAACAGGCTTCCAAGTCCGAGTCTGTGGAGATATGTAGGATCCCTAACCCTACTCACTTACAGGAGAAGACTGAAAAGACTCCGAGAAGGTCCGGGCTGGTATGAAAGCCGACCAAGATCCAAGACCTACTTGCCTTCCCGCGGCAAAGCCTTGTAAAATGAGATAGAGCACCAGGGCCGTTTAATCCAGGGACGGGCTGCGCCTTGGAGCCGTCTGCTATCCCCACCAAGTACCAGTACCCTAGAACAAATAATGCATAAACGCTTATTTCACACCAAAACTTGTCTATTTAAGAGCTTAAACTCTTCACTATCATAAGCTTTAAATGATAAATAAAAACTATAACCCTTTTAACAAAATACGAATAGCTCATAACCATCAGACGATTTTATTCCATATCACTGTTTGATAGAGTTAGGTAAAGCAAGAAGTATAGAAAGTTGGCATTCGCTTAATATTTAGAGTTAATAGTCAGTGCGCTGACTTTCACCTGCGGGCTCTCGGTACCAGTCAGGACAAGCAAGTGTCCCAGGTCAAGCAAGTATTTTATCTCACTTATTTCCAATTGAAAAAAAAAAAAATATATATATTTTACAATATTAGCTGCATTCAAAAACAAGTGTACATATAAAAGTTCGACAATTAAATAAAGCTCGATTGCAAGACTCCGTGCATCCATTTTTCGATATTATTATTCGTTGCGTTAATTTGATTTCTTCGAGTCGCAAATCGCATCAGTTCGCATCAGTTCTAGCTGACATTTTGATGTTCCGAAGCTAATAATCGATTAGACCTAGCTGCAAGCTTGCTACGAGTTTTCATTTTTATAAAACCAATCTTTTACGCAATAGATATTATACTAATTAATATATATATATATATTTAATATTTAACAATCTAATAGAAGACCGTGACGCCGATACGTAAATTTAAATTTTATTATTATAGCTTGCTGCGTTGTGAAGTTGTTTATTACAAACCGTGATTTTTTAATGATTTTTTAGTAATTTTCAACTCGATTTTGTATACTATTTAAGATGGGAGGGACACTTGCTTGTCCTGACTGTTACCGAAAGCCCGCAGGCAAAAGTCAGCAGCGCACTAACTATTAACTATTATATCCGCAAATGTTTTTTTTTTAAAAAAAAAAGAAGAAAAAAACGAAAGGAGCGATTTCAGCTCTGATCTAACGCATGTAGTTCTGCTAAATAAGCAGAATCAAGCTTAATGATCCGATTAAACTAGTTCCCCGAAGGGAAGGCGGGATTAACGCATTGTAGCTTAATATGAATTTTCTTTTTCCAAGTGTTGACCCTTTTTAGTTTTGGTGCGAAGAGGGGGTTTATGCATTACCGTATAACACCGTTAGTACTGTAGTTGGTCTTCATACACCGATCTCGATGCCTCACCTCATCTTGGTCCTCAAGCAGATCAGCGGAATGCCGGCGCAGGTTTGGTAGACGGTGATCACTGCTCTGATATATACATAGCCCGCGAAGCGTGGTTAAGAGAGAGAGAGAGAGAGAAAGAGAGAGAGAGAGAGAAATCGGGTAAGCTTTACTACAGAGGAATATCAGAGGCTCGGCATTGCTGAAGATGAGATGGAGTAATGAGGAGAAAATGAGTGGCGGAAACTACTAAGCCTTATCAATTTGAAGCACAAGGTCGATAGTTTACCTAGGTAGGTAAGATTGCACTAAATCGCAGTGAAAGCTGCGGTTGTTGTTGTTGTTGTTGTATTTATTTACGTCGGGCGGGTAGCAGGCGAAGCCTGCCGCCCTAGGACCTCCCATGGGGTACGGCGACGTGCTAAGCTAAGGAGTTACAAACAAGAAGGCCCCAGAAAGCAATTCATAGTGCTGTAGCGAGGGCTACTGTCGTGTGCGCCCTTCTCTTACAGATAGGATGGATCACAATGAAAGAAAATCTTTCGTCAAGGGAAAACCACAAAAGAGAGACAAGCAGGTACAGACTGCTGTATCTAGCTAGTAGCGTAGCTGTGCAAGTCCGTAGCGACGAGAGTCGAGGCCGGACCGGAGTCAGCCGAGTGAAAGCTGCGGTAAGATGGCGCATAGTACAATTATTCGAGAACATCCAAAGGCAGGAACAGTAAAACAGGAAATGCGTAGCAGATACGGAGGGTAACTCAAGATAATGGAACTAAAACTCTTTGTTGCCGTTCGTAAGACTGTGCTTGAGATGGGCCTGTTGAGGTACCGGTATATAAGAAAGTGGTTCTTACCTTGCGGATACGAAAACAATGATAGGACGTTATAGCGATTTGATTAAAATAGTGGGTTTCAGGAACGATGATTATTTCCAATCTTGAAACAAACTTCAACGTATACTCAACATGGCACTTTGGCATGACAAGTTGCGAAACTCCAAATTGACGCAGGTTAATTGCTCCCCCTATTAACATTTGTCTCATACGGGCCACTCGTACATCGCCATTATTCATACAATCGATGCTGGTTCATATCTTTTCAGGATTTGTAGCGGCCGCTCCGGAGGAGATAGCTACTGGGATTGCAACTGTCTCGCCGCCAGTAAGACCAGCGGTTTGCACAGGAGCAGGGCCAGTCTTTTCGGCATATGCTGGTGGTACCGAGGCCTGCTTATTCTCACTCTCACTCGGGCCCACAACACCTGTTGCCGCTGGTGACAAGGGCTCGCTGGCAGGGGCGGTCCCAACCACAGAACTGATAGCCTCATACCATTTGTTCGCATCAGAGGCTGTGTGTGCCTTGAACTGAAGCTCGGAAGAGCCTGTAAACTTTCCACCGATGCCCTTGCTAACATCCTTTCCTTTCACGTTGAACTTCTCGCCGTTAGTCGTACCAATAACTGCATCCGGGAGGTAGATAGACAGCTCCGGAGTCGGGTCCTTGCGCAGGTTGTCGCTGTCCTTGAATTCGTGGAGATATTTGGAGGGAGTCACAACATAGTAACCAGTTGAATACCCTGCCATACTGAGCTTGTTACGAGACTTTCTCTCCAGCGTGCCTTCAATGACGGCCCTGGTGCAAGAATGATCCTGGTTGGGGAACGTAATTCCGTCAAGGGTTCTGTCAGGCGTCTGTGGGTCAACGAGGATTTCTTTATTCCTCTCAACGAAGCCAGCCCATTCAAAGTTGAGTGGAACAGCCTGGGCAGTGCCAAGCATCTCTCCATAAAGTTGTTCCACCTTTTGAGCCTGTCCGCCAACGAATTGGTTAAATGTCATCATGGCCTGTTGGATGACCTCGATAATGTGAGATTCAAATAGTGCAAAGTTGTTTTGCACATTGATCAAGTCATTCTTGTTGTTGTTCTCCTCGAGAATCTGCTTGCCAAGTCGATGGTAGACACCCCGCTGGACAACGTATGGATCGTCGTTTGCGCTCATCTTCCCCCCAGAAACCCCAAATCCGGCTGTATGCTGGCCTAAAAGCTCGATATGCTTCTGGGTGATATTGCGTACCTTTTCAACCTCCTTTGCGTTCTTGCCAGCTCCGGCAGTGATTTCCTTTGACTTGTTCTTGATCTCCTTGTGCAGGCGGTCGAGGATAGGGAGAACGGAGCCCTTGATATTCTTTTCGGTTTCGAGGTGTATGTTGGCAAGGCCCGTAGTGTTCGTCCGAATAGTCTCGAACAGGGAAGCTATACCTCCCATGTTCTGGTCTACATAGGAGAGTCAGCAATTGTTGCAGTGTGATGCGGTGCAACGCAGATATGTCAACATGCCAAAATGATGCCCCTCCTTCAGAGGACTTTCAACTGTCTTCATCAATTAGTCCGAGGTCGATCCCAACATGCGATTACATGCAGCCATACCTTCAACACCTTTTCATACTCCTTAGAGTGGGCCCTTTGAACCTTCTCCGTGGCAGTAATGTAGGCCTCTAGGTAGCCCACTGCATGCTTCCACGCCTGTAGTCGCTCTGCCAACAGTTCTGAGGTCTGCCACTCGGATTTTAGCTTCACTCCCTCATGTCACGGACCTGGGGGCAAAACTTTACGTTGCTTGGATCGTTGCCCGGAATGGCCTCATCGCTGCTCATTGCGCTTGAAGTGCTGACCGAACGAGTGGGCATGGTCAGCGGGTGGCTGGCGGACTTTTCGGACAACATGGTACCATGTCGGGAGAGCATTGTGTTGACGGGTTGGGGGTTGGGGGATGGGGGTTGGGGGAGGGGATTGAAGTGGGTGTGGAAAGGGACAGTTGTGAATGGAGGTGAAGTGAAGCGGAGGTAAGGGCAGGAAGGTGAGGTAAGTAGGGAACAATGCCAGATGTTGTATCTTTTCGTGATAGGAAGCCCAGCTACCGTATTCTGTACTTACTACCTACCGGTACTACGTACCACGTACCTTTAATTTCCCCTGTGGCTGGGATGCGAGGTGCGACTTGTGCTTGTGGTGTGGGGATGGGTTGCTGGGCCGGGTTGTTGTCCGTAATCCTGGTGACAATCATCAGTCTCGACCCCCGGGTGTTCCGGGCGCAAGGAAGCTTATTTACCTGAAATAGGAGTTGGACTCTTGAATTGGAATCTTAGGGGTTTGAAAGGAGCAGCAGAGTTCAAATGTGGGTTGTAGAAGTATACGGAACGACGGATGAGGTTATACTTAGTACCGGTACCGTAGTACGGTACCTACCGGTAGTCCCGTCCCATCGATCATACCATATCAGGGCCCTTGCCTCGGTCCTGACTGATATGACGTCGGGTTGATTCTTGACTCAACAACCTCAGGAATTGAACTTCAGAGTGCTGCACAGCGTCAGGACTCGAGAGTCAGCCTCGGCCCCCGGCCTCAGCCTCAGCCTCAGCCTCAGCCTCCGTCCAAGCGCGCGCAAAGCAGCCCTAGCCCTTCTTCTGTTGCCTCCCTCGATCCTTCGAGTTTCATCTCAACTCTACTGTTCGTCAACTATCTATAATTATCTCGAAATCCCTGGGAATAGTATGGTACCCGTCTCAAATAATCAAGGATGACGATCATGTCAAGTGCCCAATTCGCACACAACACACCAAAAGCCGTGTCACTGTCGCTTCCTTGGTACAGCGACGCAGAGCTCTTCTCCATCCTGCGCTCGTGGTATATGGGATGTCGCTGGTGGCTTGCTGTGCTGGACTAATCGAAGGACTGGGCAATATGGATGGATTGGTTGGCCTTGTCTACCCTCGCTGTCGTTGACTCCAAGCCCAACCCCGTCTCCGTAGAAAGTCGCCGGACCAGCAGTTAACCCGTCACCGAAACAGTCTACGGACTACATACCGGTACCAACTTGAGACGGAACCTACGAAGATGTCAAGACCTCACGACCCGCGACAAGCATCGTGATCATGCAGCATGCCCATGACTCGAGAGATACCACCAAGCCGAAGAGATGGACAGTCCGACGAAACTCCCTTGCAGAAACACTGACAAGACGTCTGCAACGTTGGGATTGCTGCCAAAGATAGGACTGGTGCCGAATCTATGGGCAGTGGGCGGCGGGGTTGGTTAGCATTGGAGACTCCGAGTTGAGGACATTTTACAAGTGACATGTCGCAATACTTCAACCGACGGGTGGTATACGAGGTAGCCCCAGACCGGTTTGGAAATTAGACAAAGATCAGACGACGGACATAGGGATAACGGTCCAACAGTGAAAGGTCGGCTTCTCGGCAATGGGAGAATCGACTTGATGGAACGAAAATGAAGATGAAAAAGAAAATGCAGAAAGGCTTCAATTGTCGGAAAAAGCAATGAATAATGACATGAGTGGGAAAAAGTCTCCGGCCGAATCATGACGTAGCCAGAGCATAGCTACACATCAACATTCCCATTCCACTCTTATCCTCGGTTTTCTATTGAATTTCCTACATTCTTGCATCGATATACATGCCATTTGCACATGGACACGAGGAGGCATATTCTGGGCGCTGGTGGGTGGGTCTGGCGGAAAAGGGGGGAAGACAAATGCGCAGAATATCGTCATGCAGAGAAAGGGGCTCCTCAAAACCGAGGCTTTATATATATATATATATATATATATATAATATATATTTATCGCATATATTTTTACCTTCATGTGTACTCTCTCTGCATGTGCCATCGATGATCGATCGCATCCTTGCATTCTTGCGGATAAGTGTCCTTTATCTTGTCACCAGAAGCCTTCCTTGGGTACTCTACTCTAGACACTATCTAGAATGAGTATGGATAGGAATAGCTATAGTAGTCGTAGGTACCTTAAGTGTCATCCGGTATTCGATTCGACGGTACTCTACTTATCCATATAGGAGATTCGCTTAGGTATGCATTGATTAGGCTTGGGCTTGCTAGGAGCTAACTAAGACAGACACCTTCTTGAACTCTCAACTCCACCAGCCAAGATCCCCGACTCCCTCTTGTCCTTCAACTTCACCAAGCATACGGCTCAACATTACGATCGATTCTACCCTCCTAACATGCGACACCCAGAATATTCAACCCTCTGACGCTTTTACCAGAATAAATATTATTACCAGTACCCCGTCGACCAGCACTTATTCACCCTACCATACCTCCTCGACTCGAGCTCCAGATGGTCAGCGTCTGGTGTCGAACAAAGCATCTCGGTGCTAGTCACAACTCTGCTAGCCAGGGGGACATCCCTCAGAGTCCTGCTCATGAATGAAGCCCCGATGAAGGTACGAAGCTTTCTGCTGTTGGATAGATACACCTACACTAGCGCTGCCACGCCCGCGCGACTGCCGCTCATCTGCTGCCCGCCTGCAGGCTGCTCCGACCTGTGCGTGTGTTCTTGTGTTGCATAAGAGCACCGAGGCGTTCCATGACTTCTGCCATAGTCATCAAGACTGGTATTTATATAAAGCAGGAATCACTGACCACTTCTATTTCTGCAGACATCAGCCAGGCTCAGGGAGATTGGCAGGAGTAAGAGGGGGCAGCTTTCGATAAGTGATAGCAATCATCACGTCACTGAGGCGATCGGAGACATGTATGGCGACGATGACTACTCGAAAAGCGATTCTAGGCCATTAAGCTTTATAACCTCTCCTACACCTGAGTCGCATGAATCCAAGCTGTTCGTAGCTTCACCTCTCAATCAGACTATGGAAGCTGGCAATACGTATTTTGATGATTCCGACAAGCCACGTGCGAAACCCTCACCACACACGAATGGAAACAAGGGGAAGAAGGCACAAATATCTTCAGCAATGTTACCATCTCCAAGAAGCCCGTCTTCCAACCCAGGGGACCTGTCGCCAACGTTCTCAATGCGGGATAGGAGATCTTCAGATACAGCCAACGCGCAATTCCCACTCAACAACGTTGATTATGAGAGCGACCCAGCGGCAGTCGCCCAGGAACTCAGCAATCTGCAGGCTCTGCGGCGCATGTCTATGGATGTCGGCAACACGAGCGATCCTGATCTGCCGTCATTTCAAAGCGCATCTCCCATGCCCTCCATAGCTCCTACCGGTGACGACGATGAAGATGATCCCTCCAGACTGTTCTGGGTGCCTGCCAGAGTCCACCCAGAATTGGCTCCTATGGAATTCAAGACCTTCTTGGAGAATAGGGTGCAATCAATCAAGCGGCGGTCTGGAGAACAACAAACTCTCTCACTAGATGGAATTCAGCGAAGTGGTTCTGGCAGTAGTCTGCGAAGGAAGAAATCGATGCTGTGCAGACAAATAGACAACGACGGAGGGAGGGGAGCAGTGGGATACAAAGATGGTGCAGATCAGCTGGAGCGGAGGAAATCCCTTGAAACAAATAAAATGGCAGAGCTGAAGATCTCGGACCTAAAAGAATTGGATGCGTGAGTAAAAACCCCTTCCAAAGCGATGCCAAAGCTTACTCTTGAGACAAGCAATCGTCAAACCCAGACTGGAGAAGTAATTGATGAAGATAAACCAATACTACCGCAAGCACCAGGCGTCGGTCTAAGAAGATCAAGGCACACAACCTACCGGAGAGGCAGTCTGAGGAAAGAAGGAAGGGGATCAAGAAAGACTGGAATCTTCCGAGGAGCAGACACAGACGGAGAAGAATCGCCATTTTCGCCCAACTCGCCCCCGATAGATAGCTTGATTGGAAATCCCCTGACGAGAGTGCAATCAGAACCAGCAATTACGGAGAACTTCTCTCGTCCCAATCGTAATGCGCGCAGATTACAAAGCACCTCGCAGACAAGCTATCACACGGGCGCGGTAGAAGACAAGGCTGATGATACTGGAAAGTCTGATATTTCGATGATAAATACTGGCTCTGAGACTCCAGCACTATCGCCAGGGTCCGTGCCAAAGAGCAGCACAGTCTCTAGGAATGATGCTCCTGTACCTCGGATTATAGAAACCCCCCCAGCAGAAGAAGTTCCAGAGCCACCTCTTGCCAGACAACCCCCCCACTTACTGGATAGATCTTCTTCACAGGGACCTGTTCGCACACCTCAGCCAGCGCAAATTAGCCCTGAACCTCCGGCCAGATCAAACAAGCGGCCTACCATGGAGAGGCAGAATTCTGGTGCGCAACTGACCTCAAAGACTGCCCCGCCACTGAAAGATATGGCCTCTCAACCCTCGCCTCTTCCTGGAAACCATGCAAGAACAGATGCTCTCACTATTAATCCTACGTCCGAAGAAAGAAAACCAGAGAAGAAGTCAAAGAAAGACAAGGATGAGTCGGAAGTTTCTGCGCCCAGAAAGACAAGCTGGGGCTGGTTTAAAGGCAGCGACGAGAAGGAGAAAAGGAAAAAGGAAGAAGATCAGAAACGAGGCAAGTCCAAAGTTTCCGTGGACAATGCTCGTTTGGATGTCCTACAGTCAACACTGGACACTGCAGCTCCTAGAGGCCGCGAAAGAGGGCGAGAAAGCTTGTTGATGGAAAGAGATAACTCGGACTACAAGTTACAAGACGAAAGGAAGAAGGAGAGCAGTCGCAAGTCTTCGGATTCCAAAAAAGAGAAAGACGGCCTGTTCTCGTCATTGTTTGGTGGTGGAAAGAAAAAGAGTGATCGAGACTCCGGGGGAAAGAAAAGCAGCTCACTTCGCACCCTTTCTCCGGATCCACCCCCACGTCAACTCAAACCGGACATAGATTACAACTGGACTCGCTTCTCGATCCTGGAAGAGCGGGCAATCTATAGGATGGCACATATCAAGTTGGCAAACCCTCGGCGTGCATTGTACAGTCAAGTCCTCCTGAGTAACTTCATGTACTCCTATCTGGCGAAAGTTCAACAAATGCATCCTCAAATGCAGATTCCTCAGTCAGCTATGCAGAAGAAGCAAGAGGCAGATCGAAAGGCGAAGGAGCTAGAACAACAACGCCAGCAGCAGCAGCAGCAGGAAGGGGGGGAGCAATACAGATACGACTATCATCAGGTGAGCAGTCCCTGAGAACACCTGAAAATTTGGCTAAATTCGATAATAGGGTATCACTCAGTATGCAGAGCCTACGCACGATGCTCAAGCTGAGGGCGTTGATTATGTCGATGATTCTCAAATATACAACTATGATCACCCGCAATCTGCTCCAGGCCAAAGCTCCAATCGACGACCACAATCCCGAGCCTCACAACATACCCAACAAGAAAACGGCTATGGTGACCAAAGCCAGTACGATCGAAATGGCCAGGACTACTACCAGCAGCAGCCTAAACGCAAGGACGACAATGACGACGACAACGATGAAATGTGGTAGGGCTAATGTAATTTCAGCTGGCTTGCTCGCCAGCCCTCCCCCTTTTTTATGGCATATATGATGGAGTTATGGGGTTCTCAACACCAGGATGGATTGGCTGCAGTCGGCTTTGAACCGACTGCTCTCTTGACGTAATTAGTCTTTGGGAGCATAGCGTAAACAGCGTCTGATGGGCCCCATGTTCCAACATGGGTTTTAATTCCTTTGTCTCTCATAACGCCGAGGAGGTGAAGGCTTAGAGGCATTGGTTTTGATGTACACTAGATCTGCTTCCTACAGAAGGAAGCTGGGTGGTTAGCGATCGATCAGTGGACATCCCTCAAACCAAATCTTGAACATTTGATACCCGGCTCGTATTTACATCTTTGATTATTTGTGGAACGTGAAGTGACATCGATAGCTAGACCGAGTGCAGCCACAGTTGAGGCAGATCAGCAAGTGTGGCAGTGTAGCGCGCCGGTCGGTGTGAGGTTCTGCCGCCGCAGCCAACGTCTGGCGGCTTTACTTAGGCGGGGAGCATCATCCTCTATGCAACAGCTACTTACACCTCTCACTACCTACACTTCCAGCCTCCTCTTTCTTGACCTCGATCCGGACTTAATACAGACAAACCGACTGATTATTGCATCTATATTGTAGACAACCACGGCCATGTTTCGGGCCCAGCAGAATGCCTTTGACGATGTCGTCGGTATGTTTTGCCTGCCCCATCCTGAAGCCTAGAAAGAGATCTGGGAGCCACTGTCCGGAAACTAGATGCTAACACTCCAAAAGCTAAGGCGACTGATGAGAATCTCACATCGGAGAACTGGGAATACATTATGGATGTCTGCGACAAGGTCACCACAGAAGACAGCGGCGCCAAGGATGCTGTGGCAGCAATGATCAAGAGGCTGGCGCATCGCAATGCCAATGTGCAACTGTATACTTTGGAAGTCAGGCGCTCTGGTATGCACTGAAATTCGTCGGTTATGCTAATCGAATTACAGCTTGCCAATGCGCTCAGCCAGAATTGCGGCCCGAAGATGCATCGGGAGCTTGCTTCGAGAGCCTTTACAGACGCCCTTCTGCGACTAGCCAATGACCGAAACACGCACCAGCAAGTCAAGGCGAAGATATTAGAGCGGATGCAGGAATGGGCAGGTATGTTCAAGGACCCGGATTTGGGCATTATGAAGGACCAGTACCACAAACTCAAGAGCCAGAACCCAAACCTGCATCCACCGTCCGCTCCACAGAAGAGCAGACTCACGGATGTCGATCGCCAGAAGGAAGAGGAAGAGTTACAGATGGCCTTGAAGCTATCTATCCAAGAAAAGACCCCCATACCACAAACGAAGTCTTCTCAGCAACCTGAGCGGGTTGGACCTTCGCAGTCCCAATCCGCCTCGCAACCACAAACAGTTCCCTCGGGAACTACAGCAGCAACGGTCTCGCGAGTTAAAGCACTCTTTGACTTCAACGCTACCGATCTGGATGAGTTGACGTTCAGGAAGGGGGATGTCATTGCAGTACTGGAATCTGTGTACAAGGACTGGTGGAAGGGACTACTGAGAGGGCAAACCGGTATCTTCCCTCTAAACTATGTCGAAAAGCTGGCAGATCCTACAGCAGAAGAGCTACAACGAGAAGCTCAAATGGAGGCCGAGGTTTTTGCAGAAATCAAGAATGTTGAGAAGTTACTTACGCTATTAAGTACTTCCTCGGCAGACTTGAACGTTAAGGATAACGAGGAGATCACCGTACATACGACGCTATCTTCGTGGTGACAAACGCTGACAGATCATCACAGAAACTCTACCATTCTACTCTTGCTATCCGTCCAAAACTCATAGAGCTGATCGGAAAATACTCCCAACGAAAAGGTCTGTCTCTAAGAAGTATACCACCTTGCTATGTCCGTTCTAACATCACCCAGACGATTTTACTCAGCTCAACGAGAGATTTATCAAGTCCTGCCGAGACTACGAAAACTTGTTGGATGCCTCGATGACACAGGCCCAACCTGCGTATCAATATGGCCGTCATCCACAACCCGGCTACGGTGGTGGCTATCCAGCTCAATCAGCTCCCCAACAGCAAGATCCGCAAAGATACTACACCCCTAATCAGCAACAAGGTATAGATATACAAGCCAAATACGAGAAGATGTTTCATGCTGACAGCTGCTTTCAGACCAATACGCGCAACAGAGCTCTTCTCAAGGATACCCTCCTCATCGTACCGGACCAGCCCCTTTTTACGTTGTCGCTCAAGGACAGCAAGCTCCTGAGCCTCAAGCACCTCAAGCCCAACACCAATACCCTCCGGGAAACCCTACCACCCGTATACCCTCTAATAACATGCCGCCACCTATTCAGACGAGCTCGCCGCCACCTTCAAATCCATACCCCACGCCACTGCCACAGACTGGCCACCGCCCCCAAAGTACATACTCCAACCCACAAGAGCTCGCTACTTCAGTTTATGACTCCCCCGTCACCCAAAAACCCCCACAGCACGGTGCCCTCTACTCAAACGACGACTCCCATCCGGCTGTACCTGCTACCAATACCCAATCACCACCGGGTCAGCAACAGTACAACGCGTATGCCCCTCCACAACAACAGCAATATGCAGCTATCCATCAACCCACCTACGACGCACCAGCGCCACCAACAGAAAATCCTCCTCCCCCGCCAGCAGGCGCCCCGGGAGGCTACTCAAGCATCAGCCAACCGCAAGATGCCAGACAGACGCTACCCAGCCAAGTCGGCCAAGCACGGTATAAGCCATACCAGCGCCCCAGCTCATCAGAGGGACAAAGTTCAACCGCGCCATCCGCACCGCCGGGAGCACCGCAAGATTTCTACAGACAGAGCGCGGCCTATTAGGATAGTTGTCGATTCGGGCGCTTGCAAAGTAGAGAGCGATGGTTTCATTTACACATTGTACGTACATAATCAAGGCTGGGGCGCAAGCGAATGACGGCGGGGGGAGGTTTGCGTAGTAGAAAGGAGACGACTAGCCTCGAAGGCCAATGTAATTTACCAAGCTGCATCCATTTGGAATTTTTCCCGTAACCGTTCCCTCTATTCAAAAGCCTTTCAGTTACTGCTGCCCCGGTGTCCTCCCAATCACTCGTTTTCTCATTTCCCGTTCTCTCCAATTCTCTCTTTCCGCGGTGCGCCTGGTAGCCGTGGGTGTGAGGGAAGGATTCTTTCGAAGCAGTGCTACTACAGATTCTCTTTAACAGAACAGAGCCGTTCTTTGGCCTTTAGCCTCGAGCAACAAACGCCACCTCCTCCTCTTCCGCTCTCTTAAACAAACTTGAGAAACGAGCAACCAACCGACATTCACGGCACGCAAAGGGGATCGATCGTCTCTCTCTCTCTCTGATTCATCGCAAAAGGCACGCACGCACGCACGCAGGTCTACGCTCATAAATACCTCGGTTCTCTTGATTCCTTAATTAATCCCATCACATCCCATCATACATAATATATATATAAATAAATAAATAAATAAAATAAAAAAATAAAATAAAAAAAATAAAGTCCAGCCAGAACAAAAGGCCGGGAAACATGAACCAGTAAGACAATAGACTGATCCAGCTGCCACCTAGCAAGTAAGTAAAGCCATTCAGTAGGAAAGATAGAAGAGAGAAGAGAGAAGCGAGAAGAAAAGAAAAGAAAAGAGGAAGGAGAGAGAGAAGAGAGAAGAAGAATCACCCCCTCCCTTCCGCCCCCCCCATCCCCCCTTCTCCCCCCGCCGGCGATCAAGAAAAACAAGCGGGGGAAAAAAAAAAAAACGAGAGCTTTTCCATTAGCGAGCGCGTCACTTTCACTTTCTTTTTCTGGGGGGGTTGTACGGTTATACGGTTATACGGTTGTGCGATCATACTGTCTGCTGTATAAGGTATAAACTATATATATATAAACCTTGTACCCTCTTTCGATCGAGGGAAGGAAGGGGTGATTCAGGAATCAGGGGATTGGTTCTACCGGGGGAGAAAGGGTGGGGTTAGCTGCGTTGCTGGATTGCTGGATTGCTGTAGAGTAGTAGCTAGCTTAGCTTAGCTTAGCTTAGCTTAGCTTAGCTAGTGCCTAACGCCTAACGCTTAACGCCTAATAATAATATCTAAAGAGCTATCTATCTATATATATATATATATCTGATTCATCTTATCTCATCATACCTTAAAGGCAGATAGGGGGTTATTTAAACCGTCAGCTGACAATCCGATAACGGTCTCTTTAAAAGACGATTCCAAGAGGTTAGCATAGCTAGTGGATCACCTTAGGCCGATACTTAAAATTGAGTAGAATCTGAAAACAAACGATTTAAATTATTTAAATCGTAGCTAAAACACAACTATTTCAATCGATTGAATCGTTTTTTATAAGAGCTCGTCTTTTCGTAAAAAGATTATTACTAAAATAAGACGGTTTTAATCGATTAAATAATAGTTTG